AAGCACAGGCACGCGTACGCTGCGATGATGTACATGGGGACGCCGAGGGATTACGAGTTTTATGTGGCGACTAGGGTTATGCTGAGATCGCTGGCCAAGCTTAAAGTTGATGCTGATCTCGTCGTCATTGCGTCCGATGATGTCCCGATCCGATGGGCTCAAACCCTGTAAGTTTCAATTTGGAGTCAGATTTGTTTCAATATTCGTTTGAAAAGTTTTTGAAACGGCGGAGAGTTGGGGGATCTTTTGAGGAATTTTTATTGTTTGCCCCTTTGTTTTAGATGTATTTGCAATTTCGGTCCTCTCCGAAGTTAGCGTATGATGTCAGATTTAGTTCAATGTTTTTTTGGATTTCTTTTCCAACGCTGGTCAAGCGGCGGAATTGGGGATTTTTATCGTTTGCCCCTTCGTTTTTTGAGATATTTGCAGGTCTTAGTCGAACACGTTGAAGATTAGTTTTTGAATTGTACGGTTAAGAGATCAAAATTGTCTTTTCTCGAGATTCTTGTTCGTTGAAATTTAAGCTTGAAGATGATGAAGTAGAGAAGAATTGAAGAAAGACGGGGATATTTTCCTAAATTTACCTGATTGCCCTTGCCGGCCGTTAAAATGTTCATAAATTTTTTGTTGGGTTTTCGGTAATTTAAAGTTTTGAGTTTTAGTTTTTTACTTATTAATTTGAACATTTTTTAATGTTCCTTGATATTTTTACTCTGTGAGTCCAAGTTTTTTGACTTCTGTATTGGCTTGAAGAAGAAGAAAAACCAGCTCAAAAGACCTGAACTGCCCTCGATTTTCTCTGAATATTTTGAAATTGCCATGGGATATAACGGAAAATTTTTCTTCTTCTTTTTAATTAAAAAACTGAATTTTATGAATTTTTAATTCATTTGATGCTGCAATGATCAAGTTGCTGTGATGACGGTGAGAAAATAATGGGGAAATACCTTGCGAGAATAGATGTTTTTGGTTGAAAATTATGACACAGGACAAAAATTAGTTGACTCTTTTTGGGTTTACTAACAAAATTCTCATTTAAGACTTTTGGCTCTAAGTAATCTTTTCCCTACTAATAGTTTGACACAAAAATATCATCTTTCAGCTGAAAAATATGAATATGTTTAACTTGGCAAGTGCTTATTAGTAAAATACAAGGAACCCTTTGAGTCATTCAAGCTTCTAATGAATTGTTTGGATTGCTACAAATAGGAAAAATGACGATGGAGTGAAGGTGGTCACTGTGAAGAACTTGAGGAACCCATATGAGAATCAAGGCAACTTCAACACTAGATTCAAGTTGACAATGAACAAGCTCTATGCTTGGAGCTTAGTTGAGTATGAGCGAGTCATCATGATCGATTCAGACAATCTCTTCCTTCAAAGGACTGATGAGCTATTCCAATGCGGTCAGTTTTGCGCTGTGTTCATTAATCCTTGCATATTCCACACTGGCCTATTTGTTCTTCAGGTACGATACTTCCTCGTTATTATTGATGAGCTAGCTGTTAATGTTTTTGTACTTTCACCGACAAATTGATGTTTGTGATTTCACATTTATATCTATAGCTGACCGCTTAGGAATGTAAAGTGTAAACTGATATGTGCTTTTATATAAGGACTTGAATTTTCAATTCAGCTATAATCATATTGATGGTAGCAATTATTAATTTTGCAAGGTAGCGGTTGATGGTCCATGAGTAGGTGAATTAGCTTCCGACTAGAATTAAAACCCCTATATAGGGATGTTGCTTGTGACTGAGAAATAAATGTAGTGGTCCATTGGAGATGCAGTTTGATGTACCCATTTCGAGACCCATAATCTTTTTACCAGGATCAAGTTTGGTTTTTTAATCTGCTCGTTACTTTGGTGAAAAGATTAGGACACAACTTGTTTGTGACCTAGAACATGCTCTAAGTTCATATCACTTTAGATACAAGACCATATTTCAAGATAAATATGCTGGTCATTCTTTAAGTAAGTTTATTTAGGTGACATTTAAGGCTTATTTTAGGTGACATCTCTGTGTGATAACTTTATCTGAAGTCCTGTGATTTTGTTTGGAGATTAGCATTTTGTACTTTCCTCACATCCATACTAAAACTATATTTCAAGTTTCTTTCAGCTGTCTCATGCGCCTGTGATGATGCTTGCAAAGTGATCATGATTGTGCACACAATTTGCTCATGGAAAAGATAAGGTCATAGCACTTTGATGAGTCCAAACACCTTTAGACAGCTAGAACCTGACTAAGTCCACCTGGACAACTAGACAATGACCAAGTCTAATTGAAGATGCAAGAATGTGATTGCTATTAGGTAGTAACGTCATCCCTTAGGCAGCGAAAATAACCCAAAGAGCTGTCTTTGATCTACCTTCAGCATATCTGATTCTACTTTATATACACCAACTTATTTTAGTCATAGTTAAATATTAAATGCAAAAGTAAGAATTTTGGAAATGAGAGTTGGTTGTAGTTTGTACAACACAAATTCCTTAGGTAGGGTTTGTTGTACCAGTTATAGACGTTTGTCACTTTTCAATTAGATTTTATATGGAGGTTTGAAACCTTATCTTGCTGATTTTAGCAAGTAACCATAGCCAGAGCCTTTATGTCTTTGATTTTGACCTGCAGTGGGCTTAGAGAACAAGTGAGGCAGGATTTTCCAATGAGATGTTCGTGGGAAACAAATTCCCACATGCAGCGCTCAATGTGCAAGTCATGTATGATTCTCAAATTTGAGTCTGATTCGATGTTGAGTTTTTAAGCTTCCATATTGATAATTTGAACGAGTTTGTTTTGCCAGAACCATCATGTTACTGATTTTTTTAGCCACTAAAGATCGCAAAGGGATGGAGAGAAGTAGAATTGAAATGGTTCTGATTCATGGCCGTTTCCTAACTCACTTTAATGTGCTCCATATGGATTCATGGTCCTTTCCTAACTTACTTTTGTGTGCTCGATATGTCCCCTATTCATAACCATATTGTTGTTTGTCGTAGAGGACTTGTTATTGGCAATAAACTTTGTTACTCGTTAGCCATGCAGAGAGATTTCTGTCACATGCAAATAAGTGAAAATCTCTGCAAAAGAAACTAGGCCATTGTGAAAAAAATGCCGGAAACGATAAATTACAAACCATAGCATACAAAACTCACTTATTTCGTTGTTATTCTGTGCTCATTTATTGATTGTCTTTATGATTATAATCTCAGTAGATTTCTCATTCCGTGTAAACTTTTTCTGAATGTAGCCTTCAATGGAGGTGTTTAAGGACATGCTTCATGAGCTTGATATTGGTCGTTCAAACCCAGATGGAGCTGATCAGGGATTTCTCGCCAGCTATTTCCCGGAGTTGCTTGACCGTCCAATGTTCCATCCACCTGCAAATGGTAGCAAAGTCGATGGCTCCTATCGACTTCCTTTAGGATATCAGATGGATGCTTCCTACTTCTGTAAGTTCACATAAGTGCCTTTTCTTTTGGGTTTTTTGTATATATAACCCTTAATCATGCGTATTTGCAAAACTGTCCCCAAATCTTAGCATTCGCATACACCTAATATCTTCAACTTTGGATAAAAAAAAACCCCAGTAAGTCATCAACTTTGATGGGTTAATTTGTACATGCAATGTAGAAATATCAATGAAATAGGCCAACTTTTACTAGCCATATCCAACAAAGTCGATGATTGGTTGATTAGGGGGATATTCCTCTCTCCCAAAGATAATGATTTGGGGGTAGCCTTGCAAATAAACATGATTTAAGGGGCATTTATGAAAAATCCCTTTTCTTTTTCTACATCAACTCTTCTATTCTGCTATATTTGTTCATGTTAATAATTGTTTTAAGTTGCTACTTTTTAGTACCTTTTTTTGGGCAGAAGTGAAAGGGTTATCGTATATTTTCATTTTGATGATTATGCAAGGTAGTGGTCTGTTTCATTAAATGGGATCTAACGAAAACTTCATGAGGGACATATTGTTAGTGTCTTATGGGGTTATACCTATTATATCATCATTTCGCAAAAGTGCATAGGATTGCAATTGAGATATAGACTCGACTAAATGAGTTGGAGGTTGCATGG